AAAAAAAAAGAGAGAAAGAAAAGAAAGAAAGAAAAGAAAGAAAGAGAGAAAGAAAGAGAGAAAGAAAGAGAGAAAGGAGAGAAGAAGGAAGGGAAGTGCAGTGAATTACTCTTTAGCCTCAGCCAGCTTATTGTTCATCTCTTTGCTTTGCTCCTTGTCCTCGGGCGGTGCTGTGCGGGGCCCCTCGGCGCTCTTTTTCTTGGAGGCCCGGCCCGACACCACCTGCTTGTCTTTGGCCTTCCTCGGGGCCTTATGGCTCGCTGAGGTCTTTTTTGGTTTGGAACTCTGGACACTAGGTTTCTCCACCTGCATGGAGAGACAGACCGCAAATGGAAACACGAAAAAGGCGGGAGTGGGAGGGAGAATTGAGAGAGAAGACGTGATTAGTGAAAGGATGATGGGAATGACAGCACAGGACACTGAGTGTCATGGCATAGGAAGCCTCTTCACTGATGCTCGGGCATCTGGCGCCTCCTGTCTGAAGCCCCCGGTCAGTCATGTGGGCAGCCCTCTAGCTGGCCACGCTGGCTCCTGACCGCCAGCTCTCGCCCTCGGCCACTCCAGGCCGTGGGCTGTGTTTCTGTTTTGCACTCTCTGCGGCCCATCCCTGTGGGAAGATTATACCTCACCCTGCCCTGTTCAAGTCAGGCAGGCATGTGATTGGCTTTAGTCAATGAAAAGTGAGCAGAGGTGACACGGGTCACCTCCTGACAGAAATCAAGAATCAGCCTGCATTTGCTTCCCAATGGCTCCTTTCCTCTGCCACAGGGAGAGGCTGCTCCCTCGCCCCAAATTCCAGATCCAAGAGCTGCAGCCAATCCACAGCAGATGCATATTAATAAGAAATAAACTTTTGTTGACGGAGCCATGGGGATTCTGGGTGGTTTATAGGATGGTGAGCTCAAGTGGACAAACATCCTCCCTGAGAGGCTGGGACAGGCAGCCTCGCCCTGTGGGGCCATCAGCACTGCCCAGCCCTCCAGACCTCATCTCTGGCCAGCACCCTGGAAGGTTTTCCCAGAGCAGCTGTTCAAGCCCACTCTGTTCTCCCCAAGCTCCCTCCTTGAGCTTTGCCCCCCATCATCCCTAGGAGATGGCCTTGCCTTCTCTTTCTCAAGAACTCAAGGCCACTGAATACAATCCCTCAGTATGCCACCCTCTTCCCCCAATCCATCTCTAGGTTTACTTTCCCCAACCTTCCCTCCATCCTCCACTTGAATTTTCTGGGTTTCACCTCATCTGTGGAAGGTGGATAGAGATGATATTGGGCCTCAGAGGCTGGGCCATTCACTCAGCAAGGTCCTGGGGTTTTCTGTCACCCTTAACCTGTAAATAAGGTAATCATTTGTCCTGGTTTGCCCAGGACTGAGGGCTCTCATGGAATCTGGAACTTTCAATGCTACAACTGGAGTAGTCCACACAAACTGGGTTGGGTAGTTCCCTCACCTGTAAACCAGTCCTGGGCCAAGTAGGAAACTCCACTTGACTGCAAGACTTTAGGGAAAAGAAGAGCAAAGGCTATTCAGGTTTTCAGAATTTTTCTGCTATTATAGAGAGGACAGCTGATATTTGCACATTCCATGTGGCTTGACATCATAGAATAAGCTATGGTATGTGTGATTCCTGCTTTGGCAGCTGAATCTCCAACATGCTTCTCCCTCTCATGAATGCATACTGGGATGCAAATAAGGCAAAGCAGTGTTGTCATAGGAAAATCTCTGAATCCACTATAACTTCCTCAGAAATGAAAGTCATTCACAAACTGTTTATTATGATAGCAAGTTACTTGGAACACATCTTGCAGCTGATGTGACAGGTGTGTTGTTACAAACTAAGAATTGCTGGTGGATCAAGGGAAAGGATAAGAAATGGTAGGTGATTTTCAGGGACTTGTGAAGGAAGGAAGTGATTGGAGCTGAGGATGAGGCAGGGGCTGGGTGGGAAGGAAGTCAGGCAAGGATGCCTCTAAGGATGGGCTAGCACTTCAGGGACAAAACACAGTTATTATAAGACAAGAGATTTAAGGTTCAGGTGAGATTTTCTGCCATTTTTTCCCCTGGGTTTCTCAAAATCAGAAGCTAGTTCTCTGAAATCTACCAGTCTTTAAGCTGTTTTCATTTTAGGTGATGTTTCTTCTTAACATTCCCTTTGAGTTTAGAAAAGTTCTTGGTAAGAAGCCCCTCTGCCTCTGTGTGCTACAAAGAAAAGGAGGGACTTTAAAGGAGCCCTTGCGGGTGGGGCTAGAGTTGGCAGTAGCCCTGCTCCCACCTCTGCTACAGTTAACCCCACCGAGCCCAGCTGTGCTGATGGGTCTCCACAAGATCTGTCTCACCTTTGGAGGTTCCTTGAAGGGTTCGCTGTAGAGGCTGCGTATTCTTCTGCGATCAATGATCTTATTGTCAGCTGGGGTTGGCTTATTGGCTTCCCCTTTAAACTGGGCACTGTAGCTGGTCTCGTGAGCCATCTTATCATCTGGTGGCTTGTACTGGGGCTTGGCTTTGATGGGTTTCACAGGCTTGATGTCCGTCCATGCTCGGAATTCATTCCTGCGAATCAAAGAAAGCCCAAGTGATGTGACGCCTCTGATGCCTGGAAGCAGTGCCCTCACACAGGGCAGCCAACACAGCAATCAGTGCCCGTCGTGAACTCACTCTCTCCTCCTGGATGAGGGCAAGTGTTCCTTCCTGCCCAGTCAAGACAGGTTGTGGCAAGAACAGTAGTACCTCAGAGGAAAAGCTTGGGCTCCGGCTCCCATGTGTCACCATGGACAGGCAATTCTTTTCAGATTTTTCTCCATTATAGCTTATTACAAGAAATTGAATATATTTCCCTGTGCTATACTGTAGGTCCTTGGTGTTTATCTATTTTATATATAGTAATGTGTGTCTGTTAATCACATCTCCTAATTTAACAGACTGGCAGTTCTAATTTCTGGACCTCATTTTCACAATATCTAAAATGAGGCTGGAAAAACTCAATCCACTCAGTCATTCATGGGACCTCACATATGGTCGCATGCCTGCCGTGTGTGACTATTAAATGAGACAATGCATCAAACAGCGCGCCTGGTAGCTTGTGGCCAAATAGCGTCTCTTCCCTTTTGTTATGATGGAGACACTTTGCAACACTGAGTCCTTAAGGTTAATCCCTCCCTTTGATAGCAGAGGGCTTGCTTCTTGTGCTGCCAGAATCTCAGTCACTTGAGATGAAAATCCTTATGAAATGTCTAAATGCCTGCGGATCACAAACAAGCAAAATGTACTGAATACAACTGGACATCACCATGAGGACTTGTGTTGGGATACGGTGTGGAGGAGAGTCTTCGTGTGTTTGGTGTGAGTGGCTATTGGTCCTTACCCCATGTGACCCCCATCTGCTGCTTTTTGAGCCAGTGTGTCAGACCGCTTGTTCATAGCAATCTCTCTCCTGGCTTCTAATCAGCTGTGTCTGATCTGTTGCAGGACTGGAGAGTAGATGGTGACAGTACTCAAAACAGGGTAAAATAAGTGTAGCTGCTGAGGCAGGCCGCAGGGTCCATCTTGTTTGCTGAGTACGTGACATTCGATGCACAAGCTCTGCGGTTCTGAGGTCTTAATCAGACCTCTTCTCATCTGGGGCCGTGAGAAGCTGTGTTGTGAGAAAGGAAGAGTCAGTGTGTGAGTATCTGTGGAGTTAGGTTTTCCTGTGCCTCTCTCACCCTCATGGTAACTCCCTGCTTCAGGGCTCAGAGACGAGTGCCGTGAACACGAAGTCACAGGCGACAGCAGAAAAAGCTTAGAGTGCGACGGAGATCCACAAATTCTAGCCTAAGCTCTGCCGCTAGGTAGCAGCTGAGCAGGCCTCTCCCCACTGAGCCTCAGTGTCCTCTGTTGTCAAATAAAATTGACCAATGTCCTTTGGCTCTGAGGCTCTCCGAGTGGAGAAAGCTGGTTTGGTAACGTGCTGGTCATTTGCCCTCCTGAGGCGAACTGGCACATGTGTGAGCAGAGCGACCAGTTTCTTAAGAGACCCTGCCCTAAGCTTCAGACTTGCCTTTCCGCCAGCTCAGACCCAGCATCCCTAGAACCAAATCATCTTGTCTCCTCTGCCAAATTGTCTTCTCTTCTTGTATTCCTCACTGCTCAATTTCACCCTTTCCTTCTTTCATTCACAAACATTACTGAGTGCTTAAGGTCTGCCTGGCAGGATGCTGAACTCTGTGGAAGCCTAACTGAGTAATAGGCCCTGGGCTCAAGGTGTGGGAGGACGAGGGACTGGAGGTTACTCCGGGACAACAGGATAGGAGCTACGCAGGAGAAGGGAGTGGGGAGCACAGCGGAGGAACTCACAGCCAGCCTGGGAATTGGGGATGGCTGGGGGGAGGTTCTGGAGGGAGTCACAGAGGCTGACAATTGTCCAGAAGAGGGGGGTTCCGAGTAGAATGGGGAGCACACAAAGAGGCTCATGAGATGCACAGCCCCCCACCCCCACCCCGGGCCATGTAGGCAGTTCAGATGGCTAGGCTGAAGCTTGGTGGGGAAGGACTCAAGAGGTCCTGCCAGCCAGCTGAGGGGATGGTCTAGGCTATAACAAGGAGTTGCCAAATGACTTCAAGCCACAGATGAGTGTGGCTACATTCGTTTTGGGAAAGAGAATTTGGCAGCAGTGTGAATGGAGACAGAAGGGGAGAGTTGGGGCAGGAGGCCAGGAAGGCTGTGCAGTGAGTCAGGAGGAAATTGGAGGCTGGAACCAAGATGGTGGCAGTGGGGATGGAACACAGCAGTGAGTCAAGAGGGACATGGGCAGAATTTGAAAATGGCTGAGCTGGGGGAGGCCAGGATCAGACTGGGATTTGGGTTGGTGGGTGGAGATGCTACCCACTGAGACGGGGAACCTGGGAAGAGATGGGAATTGGGGGGAGGGTTGACACCCTCCTGATTCTGTTAGGGGCAGCCACCTTCTTGGCTTCAAGACTGCTTTCTAATCCTCTCTCCTCCTCCTTTCTCCATCTCCATAGGCTCAAATGGTCACCGTGACCTGACTTCTGAGCCATTTCTGGCTCTGCACACAGGCCCTGCGCTGGTGTGGGCTGCATCTGGGGTTCTGGCCACCATCACCTGCCTGAGGCACCAGGCCCTCCCTCCTGCTTCCCACCCTTCAGGACAGAAGCCCCTGATACTTGGTCTTGATCTCCCAGTAGCCAAAGCAGTAACAACCTGGATCCCAAAATATGATGGCAGAAACCTGGATTCTCTGCCCCCACCTCCGCCTGCCTATAGAATTAGGGCTGAGATAGGTATACACTGGCCCTAAGCACTGTTTCTGGGTCATCCCTTCCAGGCCGGCCTCTGCAGTGGCCCCTGTGGGCTGGCAAGTGTCTCATGTGAGCATTATCTGTGGGGCGTTTCCTTATCTGTGGGGACAGCTCAGTAACCCTGGTCTTGAACAACTTTGGCAAATCATCTTCATATGGGATGTGTTAATGAGTCCCATAGTAATTTCACTGTTACTATGACACGTTGTTAGGTTTAAACCCAAATTCTATTACCTAGCACTTTCTTTGAACGCTCCACAAAATCTTCCCAGCCACATGCAACAAGTAGTCGTATGTCATAAATAAAGAATTAAGGTACTATTCATTAGTCACCTTTTATAAGCTAGAAGGTTGTTTTTGTATATTCTCTATAACCCTTACAACAACTCTGAAAGGAAATAGTATTATTTCCCTTTTACAAAAGAGGATAGCCCAGGCTCAGAGAGGTTAAGCGACTTGTACAAGGCCACAGAGCTGCCAAATAGAAGAGCTGATTCTCAGCCCAGGTGGGTCAGGGCCCACAGCCCACATCCTTCCCACTGCACTCAGGAAACGTGATGGAGCTGCAGTGTGCTCACTGGCCCTTGCCTAGGAGTGCTTGTGTGGGGTCCAGCCTGATGTATACAATGCGGTGGAGGGTTTATATGACACAGATTGGCCAGAGGATACCCAAGCTCCTCTAGCCCTGAGATGCTCCATCCAGAGCAGTATGGGCCACACTCTCAGGTCAGTCACATCCAGTGCCTCTTGCCATGAGTTTGTGGTCCCCTGTAACCATTGATTCCCCTTTCTGTGCTACCAGATTTCAGCTTTCTCATTCATTCATTCATTCATTTGGCATTTGCCAAACTCCAGCCATGGCTGTTTCACATAGCCCATAGAAAGGAGGAAGCCAAGGCTGAGGTCTCTATAGTTAAGTGAGTGGGTCAGGGTCTGTCCACATGTGACCCTAAGAAAGGGCAGAATGAAGCAAATAGGACAGAGATCAGAAGGAAAGAGGAAAAAGGATGCTTTATTCTGAGGGGTGAAGTGGGGAAGGGGGCACTGGAAGATGTAGACAGAGAAGTGGATGGGGGAATCAGGCAGCAGGGTGGTTTGTGAGGCAGGCTCAGAGAGCAGGTGAACCGCTCAGGGAGCAGGAGGGTGTGGTTCATGGAGGGAAGGATGTCATGGTGACCAGGCTGGGCAGGAGCTGGGAGCAGGCTGTACAGAGCCTGGAATACCATGCCTGGATGCTTGTGGGAGGCCTGGGGAACTGCTGGATGCATCTGAGCGAGGCAGCAATATTCCTATTCCTCCACTGACAGTGTCGTCCTCCTCTCAGACTGCCCCAATCAGAAGTGATTCTTCCCATCAAAAGGGGTTTTAAACCTTTTTAAAGGCAGAGAGGTTCATGTTAGCGAGGCAGAGAGCGCTGGTGTGATCTGAGCCTAGGAAGCTCAAGTTCCCAGCAGGGATGAGGCATCAAGTGAACGGACAAGGTCATGTTTGGGTTGAAAGAATCCGAGGGGAAACATTTTGCAGCCTTCACTAGAAGGTAGCAAAGCCTCCTGTGCAGCTAAGCTGGATAAGATATACATGCCTGGGGGCCAGGTCCCAAGCAGAAACAAAGACACTCAGGCCCTCACAGGAGAAAATGATGTCTCAGTGCACCCAGCATATGCAGGGCCCAGGGAAGCGCAGGCAGAGGTGGAGATGGGACAAGCATAGAGCCGGGCCAGAACAGAGAAGGTGGTTCACTGTCAAGAGTACAGGCTCTGCAATAAGATAAACCCTGCCTCCATTCTGGCTCTGTCCCTCAGATCAGTCCCTCGCTTGCCCTGAACTGCACTGAGTTCATTTGGAAAGGATTTACACAAGGCCTGTTTCCCAGGATTGACATGGTTAAATGAGAATGTATTAGTTACAGAAGACCTGGACATCCGTATCGGAATTACAAAACCTATGGTGGCTATCTCTATAATAATGTATTTGGTTTTCATTACAGAGTCACGTGCTCAAGAAAAATGACTGAACATCTTCTACATTCCAGTCATGGAGCTGGAAATGCAGTGTGAACAGCCAGATGCTGCTCCTGCCTCCACTGACCTTGTGGTTAGCGGGAAGGCCTACACAATTACGCAGACATCAAGTATCTGTTCAGCTACTGTTTTTTCTGACCACTGTAGTCAACACTCTGGTGCCCGAAGTTGGCAAGCTCTGGACAGCAGCTTCCAATGCTGGGCTCATTTCTGAATGCATTTCACGTTAGAC